CCAGTTAAATCTTTTTTTCTTTAAATAATTTTATTTATTTATTTTTCCCCCAAAGCCCCAGTAGATAGTTGTATGTCATAGCTGCACATCCTTCTAGTTGCTGTATGTGGGACGTGGCCTCAGCATGGCTGGACAAGCGGTGCGTCGGTGCGCGCCCGGGATCCAAACCCGGGCTGCCAGCAGCGGAGCGCGCGCACTTAACCACTAAGCCACGGGGCCAGCCCAGCACCTGGTTAAATCTGAATCGCAGATAAAGAGTGTAAGCTTGTCCCTCGTATTGTATCTGGCAACCCTAACAGCAGTGAGGAGGGAAGCAGAGCCCCCAGCTGCAGGGAGCCTACAGGCTGATGGGAGAGATGGCAGGGCCCAGTGACCTCGATGCTGCGTGACAGGGGAAGAACAAGGCATCAGGGGACCCCGGAAAGTGTGCCCGGGCCAGCTACAGAAAAGGCTTCCAACATCTAAGCTGGGACCCCAGGGAGGAGGAGGAACGTGGGTTTCAGCAGAAGGAAACAGCAGGAACAGCAGGGCAAAGGCAGGGTGTGAAGAGGGGGGCGGGCAGGGGCCAACCTCGCAGCCCCTAACCCCGATGGCATCTGGAACCTCCAAGGGCTTTAACTGGCCCAAGCAGATGTGCATTTTAGAGAAAGGGGGGGTATGTGGTGTCACAAATGCCAAGAAAAAAACAGCCTTTCAAGGAAGAGGGAGTGAATAACAGGTCCAATGTCGCAGGGAGGTCCAGAAAGATATGGACTGAGACGTGTCCCTTCGAGTTACCAAAGCTGCTGGAGGAACAGAGGAGGCTTCGGTGGGTGGTGGAAAGACAGCCAGGCTGCAGAGCGTTGAGGAGTGAGCGGCCTGAGAAGCAAGGAGGTAGCGACAGAGTAGGCCAGTTTTCCAAAAGATGTTGAGCACGGAGGGAGGCCCGAGAGCAGCCTTGAGGAAGGCTGGGGAGGGAGGGAAGACTGAAGGGAGGGACCCTGAGGGGGTGAGGCCCTGGGCGGTCTGGCCTTGGAGGAGGCTCAGCTCCCCAGGTGGCAGGGAGAGGAGGGTGGGGCGCATTCAGATTCTTTTTGGGACATCCAGGGACTCGCACCTGCCAGCTGATCACACAGTGCAAAGTCTGCCTCTCCCCAGCTGTGCTGTGACACGCCCGCTGCCCCTGGGCAGGGCTTGTCCCCCAGGCCTGTTCCCCAGCACAGAGGACAAATAGAGTGCAAGGCAGCCTCCAGGCCTCCCCTGAGCAAAGGAGTGAATGAATAGTTGGGAGAAGTTGAGGGCTGCAGAGTGAGAGGAGGGCAAAGCACCGTGCTTGGGGGAGTGGCTGTCCTGGGAGGAAGGGAAGGAAGAGGAGTCCAGGAAGGGGGGGGGGGGCGGTGGGACAGTGTCCCTGTCTCAAGCGGTCAGAGGGGGGAAGAGTGGAGAAGGGTGGGTAGGGGGTGTGCCTGGGAGCTGGAGGGAGTGACTAATGAGGCAGTGTAGACAGCCTGGTCAACGGGGGCAGAGGTTTGGCAGGGAAGGGAGGGGGGAAGATGGGGTGGGGAGGGTGCAGAGATGTACTTCTGTGCCGAGGGAGGGGATTCCTTTCCTGCCCCAGACCATGCCAAGTGCCTTCCATCATCACCTCTGCATGAATCTCACTTAATTCTCACAGCCCCCCTGGAAGAAGATGCTGCTGCTGCTGAAGATGATTGCTATGGGTGGTCTCACCTTATCAATAAAGAAACTGAGTCTCAGAGACTTGAGATTCCCTGCCTAAAGTCAAACAGCCCGGAGGCAGCAGAAAGGGAGTTGATACCCATTCTGGTCAGACTCCAAAGCAGGCTCTGTTCACCACCCCGGGGACTGAGGAAGCCCTGAGCAGAAGAGAGCACATAATCAGGGGCAACCCCCTGGGAGAAGGACTCTGCTGTGGGGCAGGAATAGGGCCTTGATGATGTCACCTCCCAATGGACTACTGGGCTCACCTCCCAAGCTTTGGTATCCAGCAAATTCCAGCAGCCTGGGGGAGGGCGGACCCAAGAGTGGGGAGTGGCGGAAGAGACAGGGTACACGGTATCATCGTGACAGGCATCTGTTCCCTGAAACAGCTGACCATGGAGTTCAATGTGGGTAAAGAGAGAAGAGAAGCCCAAACAGGGTGGGGGACTGGGCTGGGGTGGGGTTGGGCCTCAGTCTCACCTTCCTCCACCCCTTCATGCGCTTCCCTAGCTCTGCAAATACTGTTCCCTCCCCCAGGAATCTCCCTGTCTCCTCCTCCTTCAAGGGCAAATTCAGATGTCCTCTCTTCCCACCTTGTCCACCCTCCTCCCACCCTTAGCTCCCTCTTCTGGTCCCCATAGTGCTAGCAACCAGATTTTCTGACCAAGGAATAAGATACAGGCTCAAGATTCGTTCATTCTAGTTGGCGTACATTTCCTCTGAGGTCTCAGCCAGTCTCATCCAACTTTAAATACCATCCATACGCTGATGGCGCTGAAATCTGTACCTCTAGCCTGGACCTCTCCCCTGAGTTCCAGACTCTGATGACCACATCTCCATATGGATGTCTAAAAGACATCATAGCCAAAACTGAATTCCTGATTGTCCCCCCCCATCTTGCTCCTTCCAGAGTCGTCCACATCTCAGTTGAAGCCACTCCATTTTTCCAGTAGCACAAGCCAAAAACCTTGACGGTATCTGACTCTTCTCTTTCCCTTACATCTCACATCCAGTCCGCCAGCAAGACCTGTTGACTCGACTATCAACACGCATCTGGGTCCTGACCCCTTCTCCCACCTTTGCTGCCATCCAGCTGGTGCAAACACCACCACTCTCACCTTGATTACAGCACTGGCCCACCTTTGCCCCTCTCCCTACATTCTCTTCTTAACCAGCGGCCAGAGGTCCTCTGAGCACATAAGCCAGCCCTACCGCTCCTCCACTCATGCAGAGGGGATGTCCCAGCTCAATCTAGCTCCAGCCAAAGTCTTTCAAAACCTACAAGCCCTAAATGATCCTCCCCTTTCCTGTCTGAGTTCTCCTCCTACTGTTCTCCCGCTGGCCCACTCTGCTCCAGCCACTCTGTGCTTTCTTTTTGCAGTTCCTCGAACATTCCAATCGTGCTCCTGCTTGGGGATTTTGCACTAGCCGTACCCCCAGCCTGGACTGCCCTTACCCCGGATATCCTCATGACCTGCTCCCTCACCTCCTTCAGATCTTGCCTCAAATGTCACCTCAAATTTGCCTTCCCTGGGGCCAGCCCCGGGGCTTAGCGGTTAAGTGAGCCCGCTCCGCTGCTGGTGGCCAGGGTTCAGATCCCGGGCGCGCACCGACGCACCGCTCATCAAGCCATGTTGTGGCGGCGTCCCATATAAAGTGGTGAAAGATGGGCACGGATGTTAGCCCAGGGCCAGTCTTCCTCAGCAAAAAGAGGAGGATTGGCATGGATGTTAGTACAGGGCTGATCTTCCTCACCAAAAAAAAAAAAAAAACTTGCCTTCCCTGAGCATCCTAGTTACAACTATAAACCCTGACCCTCCCTATCCTCCTTCTCTGCTTTATTTTCCTCCATAGAACCTATATCATCTAATGTATTATGTATTTCATCTGTTTATTTAGTTTATCTGCCTCCTTCTAGAACACAAGCTCTATGAGGGCAGTGCCTTTCTGTTTGTTATTGTTTTTTTTTTTTTAAAGATTTTATTTATTCAATTTTTCCCCCCAAAGCCCCAGTAGATAGTTGTACGTCATAGGTTCACATCCTTCCAGCTGCTGTATGTGGGACCCGGCCTCGCGTTGGGCAGAGAAGTGGTGCCTCGGGGCGCTCCCGGGATCGGAACCCAGGCCGCCAGCATCAGAGTGCGCGCACTTAACCGCTAAGCCACGGGGCCGGCCCTGTTATTGTTGTTTTCTTTGCTGCCTGCAACAGTGCCTAGCAGATAGTACACACTTAACAAATGCTGCTTGAGTGCCTGTTTTGGAGCCACCACTGCGCTGACCACTGAAGATGGGATAATGAGCAAAACCTGACAAAGTCTATGAAGCTTAAGTCTCTGGCAGCGGTTCTGTAATTTTCGTGTGTACGACCTACGTGGGGAGCTCTTAGAAGCGCAGACCCTGGCTCCCCCTGGAGACTCTGGGGTCGGCCCCAGGGGTGTGCACAGCGCACACGCTCCCCAGCTGGTTCTGATGCAGGTCACGTGGGGGTCACACTTGGATCTGCTGGGACAGACTGAAATTAATACTGCCCAGGACACCTGGGGGCTCATTTTCCCAGCACCATCCATTCTCCATTAAACAGTTGTTTCATGCCTGTCTCCCCTCTGAACAGGAAGTTCTGGACTGCCGCGGCGTCTTGCTCCTCTCTGTGCCCCCTGGGCTCAGCCCAGCGCAGGTGCCTGTGAATGTTCATTGGGAGAACGAATGAATGAAGGGTGAATGAATGGTTAGAAGCCGGATGAATGAATAACAGGACTCTAGCTAGAAAAGGAATTTCTAGAGTTCAAGGTCTAGAAAGTGGGAACGTTTGCAAAGACTTCCCCTGTGCCCGAGGGCTGCAGGAGGGGCTGGCACTTCACAGGTGACGCGTGTGGTCGTCTGTGAAGGTGGCTGCTCCGCGAGCTGCTCCGGCCGGCGGGGAAGGCGGGACGCAGGGGCGGCGCGCCCACCCACCCTGCTGCCCGGCGGCGCGCTTCCCCGGGAGAGCGCGGCCGTTGCCATAACTACAGACGCAGCCGGGCGAAGAGGGGGGCGGGCCCGGGCGGCACGTCATTCCCAGCGCGACGCAGCTCCGCGCCTCCCGCCCCTTCGGGTGCGAGACCCTCGGCCCGCCCCCGGGCTC